AAGAGAGAGCCCATGGCTGGGGCAGCAGGGGGTGCGGGTGGGGGAGGGGGAGAGCCCAGGGCTAGGGTGGGGGCAGCCAAAAATGTTTTTGCTTGGGGTGGCAAAAAGCCTAGAGCCGGCCCTGATCAAGAGTCCAGTGATCAATTATTCTTCAGGTCCACTGAGGATAGGACAAGAAGTAATGAGCTTAGCTTGTAGCAAGGGAGATTTAGGTTAGATATTAAGAAAAACGTTCTAACTATAAGGATAGGTTAGAACAGGTTACGTAGGGAGGTTATAGAATCCCCTTCATTGTGGGTCTTTAAGAACTGGTTAAACAAACACCTGTTATGGATGACCTAGTTATGCTTAATCCTGCCCCAACACAGGGAGGGTGGACTAGATGACCTCATGAGGCCCTTTCTGCCCTACATTTCTATGTTTCTGTAGTGTGTTGGTACAATAGGAGGTGGTGATGTGCCTGAGGTCTGGCAAAGAAAACTGTTGAATAGTAGTGTCATTCCAAACAACTTCATAAATAATCAGCTCTTTTCATGTTGGCTACTTGGTTTGATTAGTTGAACTGGAGTCTTTTGGTAAGGTTTCAATAAGTATTTAATTTAGGTCTTGTCTACACTGGCAATTTACAGCGCTGCAACTTTCTCACTCAGGGGTATGAAAAAATACCCCCCTGAGCGCAGCAAGTTTCAGCGCTGTAAAGCGCCAGTGTAGACAGTGCACCAGCGTTGGCAGCTGCGCTCCCAGCGCTGATAGCTACGCCTCTTGTGGAGGTATTTTTTTTTATTTTTTAGAGTGCTGGGAGAGCTCTCTCCCGCAACCACACAATCCATGTTAAAGCGCTACCATGGCAGCTTTAGCGTTGCCACTGTAGACTAGCCCTTAAGTATCTACAGTGATAACACTTTGCATATTCTGTTCAACACTTTCAAAGCACTTCGCAAACATTAGTGAAGTCATGCAGTACCACTGGGAGTTGGGTTAAGTAGTATTATCCACCTTTTACAGAGCTGGGTATAGAACCCACACAGGTCTCCTGCCAGCTGCTGTCATGTCTAGACCATAAGACCATCTATCCTGTCATCTGAACTGAGCACCCTTTGGCTGTAGCCTGGCAGAGAGCTCTGTTTGGGTAGGGATTCAAGAACTCCTTACAGTGAGACAGGATTAATTTTTAAACGATTGCTTTTGATATCAATCAGAAATTTAACAATACCAATGTAAGCTATGGAAATGATGCTCAGCTGATGACAAAATCATGTCAGCCTGACCGTTTTCTTTCTTAGTTGACATATTGAGCTGGAAATTATTTGGTCATACAGCATTTTGAGGTGTTTGCAGATGACCTGCTAATGAGGGCAATTGAAAGGCTGTATTACTATGTAGGGTTGTTGGGAAATACGTTTGGCATAGAGTACACCAAAGGAATTAGCCAGGTGACATGGGCATATTGGAAATAATTGCCAAAAGTCTCAGTACAACAATACGATTGATGTAATGCAGCATTGCAGCACTTATGTTAACTGCGTTATTTACTCATGTCACCTGCAGCCAGTGTCAGGAGAAGCTTCTCCAAGTGCAGCTGAAATATATAGGGACAATATACTTCTCTGTATTTCTCTAAGTACACTAAAATATGCTGCTTCTTCATAAAGGGGTATCTGTTATCCCATCCATCCATCTTAATCGCCTCCCAGTCATGCAACAGCGTGAGCAGATAGACCTATAGGGAAATAACTTTTTAAAATCTTTCAGAAACAGAAGATTCTTCACTTCATAAAATATTTGAGGTATGAAATGAATCACTTCAGACCTTGTCTCTGGCAAATTTCCACGTACACAAACAAAACAGGCTCTGATTTTTTTAGCATGTAATTAAGGGGCACTTTGGGTATCTCTGGCAAGCTGGGTAATATCTAGAAAATAAATTCTGTTAGCATATTACCAGGAGATCTTTTACTATTTAAAATTGCTGAAACCTACATCCTGCTTGACTGGTTTAGTACACAGAGCTCTATTATGTGATGGGTGCTGGTGAGAGGTTTTTCACTGTGAATGCGGTGTTAATGTAGGAGCAGGAAAGGAGGGGAGAGGATGGGGGAAAACCACCAACTTTGTTTTAAAGAAAAATATCAATAGATTGTCTTCACATATCTGCCCTGAAACCTACAGCTATTCTTAGGATAATTAAACATCCATCATTTACTGTCTCTGGACGAGATACTATATAGGGGTGTTTCTTTGCTTCTCTATTGTTTTAAAATCATGTTATATACATTGCTCTAGATCTGATGGCTCTGTTCTTATGGACTATAAATGGTAGCACTGCTCAAAAATTTTCCAAAGAAATCAAGAAATTCTGATTCAATTAAATTAAAACGTTCTGCAGGAATGTGTCAGTTTCATAAAAAAAATTGATGAAAATTATCAAAGCATTTTGGTAAAGTCAAACACTTCACTTTGACTTTATCGTTTTGACTTTTATACTCTAATTTATAATATAATATTTACCTCTTTTTGACCTGAGTGGTTAGCCAATTTTCAGGGTCTAGCAGGCTGTTTCCATTAGGAGGAGAAATTGATGATGGAGTCTGGTATTTCTTTGCTGCAATCCTGTTTATTTTGACAGAATGTACAAAGTCCTCTTTCCCTGAACACAGTAGGAAGCTAACAGGAGATATAGTTTCTTTGCTCACAGTTCCAAGCCCCCTTCAGACAGCATTGTACCCAAAATGATCTCTTTTTTAGCTTTTTTTCTCAAGGTCACACTACCAGGGCTTCTCTGCTCCTTCTCTGTGTACTTCTGTCCGTTTCTGCTCCTTTTGCACATGCAGACACACACGGCTCCACCAATCAATGCCCCAACCCCCAGCGTTTGCTATATCAGTCTCCAAGAAAATCCCTTGGGGGCCACATGGCTCAGCTTCTACTGAAGTCTTGCTATGTGCCTGTGTTTTGTGTGGTAACTCCTATTGTTTTAGCTATCTGGTTCCATAAAGGAACTTGATTGTTACTGACATTTATCCTGAATGACAGGCAGTAGTTACGCCCACCAGCTTCAGTGAGAATAATATAAAAAGTATCATGTTATGTTATAAATTATAAATAATGTATTATAATATAAAAGGGAAAACTAAAGGTTGCTTCAATATTTCCTAAACTAAATTTTTAAGAATTTTCATTTCACAGGATTTTTAATAATTTTAATTTTTCTTTCTGATTTGGGATGAAAAAACATTTCAAGATGTCGGAATTTCAAGTGGAACAGAAATGCTGAGATCTGAGAAATAGACAGAGTGTCCTAACCGGCATTAAGCGGTCCTTGCAGGGTGTTTTGGGGGAAAGGAATCATAAAACGAACTCTGCAGGTTGGAAATGAACCAACCCATTGCATGGTAGCTTGGAGGCTTGGGAAACTCTCTCACAGTCATTGCCCTCCCGCCACATCTCTCGCTATCTCTCTCTATCTCTCTGACTCTTGCCTCATTATCATATCTTTCTTTTATAATTACCTATGTCTCTCATGATTGGGTCTTCTCTGTCTGCCCCAGCCATGTCCTCTTTGCCTTGAGCCTCCTAGACAATTTTTGTACTCTAGATACCTCTGTGGGTTCCTCTGGCTTGTTGGCCAGGAGGGGTTGGCAGGAGATTGCACTGGAGGGAGGGGGTTTGGAGGACCAAGGGATGCCAGCTTGGGTGGGAAGGGGTGTTTGCCAACTTCCCAGAGACGTAAACAATCTCAGCCTATGATCTTGAACCTGGGGCTCTGTTTAGTGGGTCTGAGTCCCAATATGAGTATTTGTAAATGTAACAGAAATGAACAAACAAGCCCCCTCTCCCATGTGGCAATTAGTATCCAACTTACCAATTAAAATCTATTTTAATCTTTTAATGAGCATCCCTTTTAAGGGTAAGCAGATCTCGGAGTGACTGAAGCTCATCACTGCCCGTTTGTCTGAAGTTGTAGAGAAAAGAGCAGGTCAATAGTGAGGAACGGTCACTGCTGCACTAACAGAGACCAGTTAAAATGATTAAATCTGTACAATACATCAGAAGCGGGTGGGAGAGGTAGGACTAGCTCACAGAGGAGACTGGCAATGGGAGACAAAGTCTTACGTCCTTTGGTCACCCACAAAAATCACCAGCTCAACTGAATTGCCACTAATTGGCACCTGTGATGACAGTTTCAGCATAAAGGTCAAGGACTTACTGGACCAGGGAGGCTGAAGGACCTTCTGTCCAGGTCAGGCATAAGGCACACTGGTAGGGGTCAGGGTGTGTGTGTTGTCTGAGTCTTGCACTGCCACTGCCTGTGTTATACCTGCTTTGTAGACAAAGGGAGAATTTGATTCTTCAGAGCTGTCAATACCAAATTCCTCCTCCCCAAGGCACCACACACACAACAATGCAAATCATTAGGGTTAAACACTATGGAACAATCACTGAAGCCAACATAACAGAAAGTTGTTGCAGGATATGCTGCATAAATGTTTGTTTTATTGCAACATCTCAGTAATACAGTACAAACTATAAACACGTTATGCTTGAGACAGAGCAACCAGACCTAGAGCAGTGTATTAAAAAAGATTCTGAAACAACAGAGAAGCAAAGATACACTCCTTTAATCAATCTTTTTATTGACCCTTTGATCATAAACTGCTACACAATGACTCAGTGACATAGTTTGTATTCAGGAACCATCTGCAAAATCAGATAGTGAAATGTCATAGCAATTGGTGACATAATGGACCAAATTCTTCCCTGGTGTGTGATTCCTTCCAGCAGGACAAATATAGCCCAAGGTGTTTACTAAGTTTGGCTCAAAAGGTAACAAGAGTAGACTGTCCTATGTTTTACTTGAAATACCATGTGGGCACTGGTTCGGATTGGACTTGGAGAGAAGGTTCCCATCTACAGAACAATTGTCCCTATTTCATACAAAACCCAGGATTCTTCTTCAAGTGGTGTCCCTGTGGGTGCTCCATTTTAGGTGTCGATGCACCCTGCGCTCGTGGCTGGAGATTTATGGTAGCAGTGCCTGGTTGGGCCGCACATGTGCAGTCCCCGTCTCGCACTGCTTCAGGCGGTTAACTGGCACTGTGCGACCAAACCCTCCCCACCCCCAGTTCCTTCTCTACCACCGTTGGTTTGAGTTGGAGCACTCAGCAGTGCCGCACAGCTAGAAATAATCCTTTTTCCCATTAAGTTCATAATTTTTAGTTAGAATAGAATAGATTATTTTCCCTTCCAATTTATCCTCATCACTTAAAACAATATCTATATCTATTTTTCCTTATAGGACCGTAAGTTTCCATTCTTCTTGATCGCAGCAGCACCATAGTCATATCTCTCTCCACATTACTGAGAGAGTACACTCCCTCAGGGGCATGCCTAGTTCCCCAGGGTTCAAATGCTGCGCTACCTGCAGGCTTTCAATACCCCTCTCAGACGGACACTCTCAGTGCATCCGGTGTCTCGGTGAAGGACATATTCTGCAAAAGTGCTCACACTGTCACTACTTCAAAGCCCGCATGAGAAAGGCAAGAGATCTCCAGATAAAACTTCTCCTCATGGAGAAATCTCTTCACCCGGCATCTGAACCTGAGGTACGCACTCCTCCCGGCCAGAAATCACCGACTGCAGCCTCGGACAAAGTCCCCTCTTCCAGAGAAAGGGCTGCTGACCAGCCTGCCACGAAGGCAGCAAAAAATGGGGCACCACATCTCTGACTCCAGAGTCAACCAAGAAAAAGCATCCCGATAGCGGCCAAAAGCTCCCAGCACCAACCGCACTGGCCATATCAATGGCCGACAGAGTGTGTCCCTCCGGTACCAACGGTAAAAAAAACCTAAGCGCTCCTAAACAATTGAGCTCCACCACAGGCGAAAAGGGGAAAGTGAAACCCCATGCGACAGCACTGGCAGCTGTAAGCAAGCCATCCGTACTGAGCATTCCAGCACTTACACTGCCTCCTAGTGCTGGTATTATGCACTCCAGTCGCACACAAGTGCTGATGAGCACACCCTAGCACACGGTACTAGTCCCGACCACTCCACCTGGTACTGAAACTGGGGACGTTGCAGCAGTTCCTCTGTCACAAAGACTTATCTGTCTCATTGGTACTGCAGTCTCCTCTCCTTGGCACCGACGGTACCACAGTACCCGCGGTACTTAGCCAACCCAGCTCTCCACATCTTTCAGCACAATTCTCTAGTGGAGAGGATGATGGAGAGGAGGATGTAGGACGTTTGCCACAACATTCCTCTCCTGTGGCTACTCACGCCATGCAGGCCCCACCAAGCACGGGCTTCCAGAAGACAAAAAAGATCAGTAAAAGCACTCATCACAGAGGGACACCTTAATTACCAGAACAGCGCTACAAGCTGCCCTTGACTCCACTGATTCCACAGCAAGATCCATATAACAGTGGTCACTATGACGATAGCCTCCTGGCTTCATCTATGCAGTTTTACAAAGCCAGTACAGTCCACCGTAGAAGACGTACTGTTCAAAGGCTCCGAACACTTCGCGGACAGAACGGACGAATCATTGCGTACCCTGAAAGACTCAAGGGCCACGTTGAGGTCTCTGTGCAGCCACATACCTAAGAACAAGAGACGGCAGACCAATTACCAAACTCCTCAAAGATTCCAACCCCCTCCGAATACACAACGCAATAAGTACTATGATCATAGGGGCGGAAACAGAGAACTTAGAGGAGACGGCAGTCTGCTTCCTCAACTACTACCTCTCAGACATCGACCTCTAAGCAACAGATTTGAAGCCTTGGTCAAGAGTTTGAGAATCCCATCTTTCTCAATGCTGGCACATCTATAACTGGCAAAAATTTTGGAGATTGCCTACTTCCATTCTACCCCATCTGGCAGTCCATCACCATGGACAGATGGGTATTAGAAATAATCAAAACTGGTTACTCCATCCCCTTTACCTGCAAACCCCCCTACCCACCCTCTTTCCCCGTCCCTTCTCACGAACATCTACTGCGAGAAGAGGTAAACCATCCCGTATCTCTGAGAGCAGTAAAACCCATACCAACCGAGTACAGGGGGAAGGGGTTCTATTCCCACTACTTTCTCATGCAGAAAAAAAACAGCAGGTTGGAGACCTATTCTCAATCTACGGTGACTCAACAAGTTTGTAAAAACACAAAGATTCAAAATGGTCACGCTAAGCATCATAATCTCAGCATTAGAGAGGGGGGGAATGGTTCTCAGCCCTCGATCTTCAGGACACATTTTCATATATCTATCCATCCCTCACATCAGAAATTTCTATAGTTTACAATAGCACAGGACCACTTCCATTATAAAGTTCTACCCTTTGGCCTTTCCACGGCACCACGGGTATTTTCCAAAGTACTAGCTGTCGTAGCGGCCTACCTATGCAGAGAGGGAATAATGATATTCCCGTACTTAGATGACTGCCTGCTGAAAGCACCAACACTACAGACAGCCATAGATTCCACCCAACGTACAATAAGTCTCTTAACCTCCTTAGGACTTCAAATAAACTTACAAAAGTACACTCTAACACCTGTCCAATGCCTGGAATTCATTTGCGCGGACCTCAACTCCCTCGGAACAACTGCCTCCCTTCCAACAAAATGCTTTCTGACTCTAACTGACTTGATCTCAACAGTGCGAAACAATCTGCAGGTGTCTGCCAGACCTTGCCTGAACTTCAAGCCTGGTTCCGGACAAATTATGTTCCCCACAGGTGGAGCATAAACAAACTCCTCACTATGCCCAATGCAGTCAAGGACTCCCTGTTATGGTGGACCAATCCAGACAACGTCTGCAAGGGCATACCATTTCTACAGAATCCACCAGCACTCACCATCACCATGGATGCATCCCTCCTAGGCTGGGGGGCACAGTCATGTTCTGTACAGGCCTGCTGGTCTCCAGCAGAGTCCAAG